TCGTATTTTCGAAAATAAAGTCGGTCGTGTTTCGCGGACAAAGGTTTGATGATTTGCAGGAACTGAGACAGAAAGTGTTAATATTATTTTACATATTAAATCTGAACAGTTTGTAAACATTTTTGATGACTGTTTAAAGCGACATCAAAAATGCATTAATTTAAACGGTGACTGTGTTACATGTACTACTAAGCTTATGTCGTCAAGGAATTTCGTTTTGTGTGTGTTTATGTCTGTTTTGTTCTGCTAAATTACAACTATTTGGGCTTCGCTTTTGTTTAAAATTTGTATATATATAAAATGAAACATTTATTTATGAAAATGTTTGTTTCATTTATGACAATTTTTTTTCTTAACTTTGTTTTTTAGTCTCTAAATCTATGTTATAATGTTTACAACATAAGAATTCTATGCATTTTTGTATGCCATATATTTTAAAAATTTTACTGTATACTATGTAAGTAGTTTATGATATTCAATGTTTACATTGATTGATAAAAGTAATTTTCTGTTTAAACATGAGTTTAAGATTACTCTTAACTTTGTTTTTAGTATCTGAATTTATGTTATAACATTTAAAATATGATTATTCTATGCATTTGTATGCCATATATTTTTTTTTTAATTTTACTGAATACTCTTGATTTGTTTATGATATTGAATCCTTTCATTCTTTGATAAAGGAATGATTTTTTTAAAATTGATTTTAAGTTTTCTCTTAACTTTGCTTTTTAGTCTTTGAATTTGTTTGATAAGTAGATCAAATTGTTAACATTTTCATAATGGTAAATCAACGTTTTCATAGTGATTACTATAGTTAATCCAAGTGTCAATGCTATGACAATAATCAATCAAAATTTTCAAAAAGTTTTCAAAATGTTCACCAAGTTTCACCAAAATTTTCAAAGTGTCAAAGTTTTCGCCAAATGTTTTTTAAAGATCAAAGTTTTCGCCAAAGTTTATCAAAGTATCAAAGTTTTCGCCAAAGTTTTTTCAAAGTGTCAAAGTTTTTAAAAAGTTTGTCAAAGTGGTCACTATAGTTAACCAAAATTTTCAATGCATAAAAGTTTTAACTATAGTAAACTATAGTACACTCTAATTTACTAAAGTTTTTTGATAGGGGAGTTTATGGATATCACGTTATAACTAGTGTATTCATACAGGTTAAGTAAGAACTCTTGTGTAATCGTTATGGAGTTAATTTATTAGCGAAATTTTTTAATTCATAAGTATAGCTATATTAGGGTCGCCCGCATGGCGCATTGGTTAAAGCGTCTGTTCTAGAGTTGCGAAGTAGGGTGTTATCCTCGGGTTCGAATCCCAGTTCTAGAAATGAAGACTGGTCTTTTGGATGAGACCGTATAGCAAAAGATCCCGTGTCGCAGTAGGTCCTGGCACGAAAAAGAAATCTCACTGCTCAAGGGTCATAAGTTCTGAGTAAAGGAAAAAAAAACTTACAGCTCTCAGTATGAGTGAAAAATTATCGAGAGGGGCGTTAATTAAACAAGATACAATTTATCAACCTTTTTACCTGGTTCGATTTCTCTAAACAGAATATTGTACATAAGTACACATCAAAAAGGTTAAATGTTGTTCTCCAATTTTATTAAAAACCTGCATAAACATGCCACTCAAGAGGGCAGGGTGGTTGTGGCCATTTTAAGACTATATCGACCCCCTTAGAAGAAGAGCTTTATATAAAGATATACAAAAATTGTCAATTTTTAAAACTTAAATTTATGAAATTTGTTTTTGGCAATTGATATTTGACAGCTAAAGATATATCTTTACTTTAGAAAAATGAAGTTATATCTGGCTGCAAATTTGTTGACCTCCTAGACACCTCAAAAGGGCCTCCATCCTCAAAACTTGAATGTTTATGTTTGGAAAGTTAAGAGAGAATGTCACGAATCATCAAGCTTCAGATGGAAACTTAAAATTTTAACCTCCTGTTTTCCTATATTGGTTGTAAAAAGTGTTCATTGTACACAACTTTCACATATATGAAAATGATGTTTGACTAACAAAACTATTATTTATCTACCTTCTTATGTGTTGCCATGGAAACCACCGTAAGTGAAGGAAAAAAGCTTAAATTTTAACTTTTTTGGAAGAATATTTTTTCAGAAAGAATACCGATATCACCAACAACAAACTTTATGCAAACTATTAAAGATATATAGTGTGCAAAAAAGTTTCAGAGCAAATCTAAATACAAATGCATCTGTTGCCATGGCAACACAAATACTATATAGCTTAACAATGTGAAAATTTAAATATTTACCTGTCAAGTTAAAACTAATATATATAAAATCTACAACAGGTTCAGCATTTAAATGAATTTTATTCTTGCACAATACATGTTGATCTTCAAGACTGACATATAAAATTGAGAAGCATTTTTACTACTTTTGTGGGAAAACTGTTCAATTTCATGTTTGAATTCTTTAAAGAATGCTTAAAATTCACTTCCAATATTTTAGGAAAACTTTCAATTTCTTCCAAATTGATACAATTGCATGTATAAAAGCTAGCATACTCTTGCATCATTAATAAATATAGTGAAATTATGGGATAAAAATCCTGTAATGTGCCCATAGCAACCAAATTTACTGCATAGCAACCAAGACATTTTCGAAACATAATGACAAAAAAATAAAGGAGAACATGTATTATAAGTATAAATAAGTTGAAAAATCTTTTTTTCTTAAAAAAAATATATATATACTGTAATTTATGCATTGATCATATTCTGTGCATAGCAACCAAATGAGGTCCATAGCAACAGAGCTGAATAGACATTTTATTATTCATGAATTATCAATAAAAACTATTGATGATACTCCAAAGGAATAGTTATGGGAATGCAAACGGATAAACTAATAGTGTGCATCCTTAGATGCAATACTTATGTAATTTTGGTCTGAGATTTTGATCTACCATAGTTATAAGTAAAATTAAGAAGCAAATTTAAGGACATTGTTCCACTAACTTTATGGAAAGGAGTATAAATGGTGAAAGGTGGTGTAACAAATTAGTGAAATCTCTTTCTAATATTTTGCTAAAATTTAATTATTAGGAGAGTGGTTATCTTTAAAATTGAAAGGTATCCAATAAAAAGAATTTGAAAACAAAAACAATACAGCATATACAAATTGAAAATGGTCTAGCAACCTTAATCAGATCATAGCAACAGTATAGTGTTAAGACAGAAATTGATCTATTTTTTCATTTAATAAACTTCATACTCATTTAAAAATTGTTTATACAAATTTTTAATAGATAATTTGATTACATTTTACACCAATTTAATATTTTTTAAAAAATTAATATTTTTCCTTAGCAACATATATCTGACCATAGCAACACTGAGTATTAATGAGGTAATTTCTACATTTAAATTGTTTTGTTCATATCAAAACTTAATTAAGTGTACATAAAAAGAATAAAGCAAAAATCTAAATTAGATCAATGTACGTACACACCAAAATCTACAAGAATTAAAAACATACCATAGCAACAATTTCCTAATGTAGTAACATAACATTAAAAGTCAGGAATTTATAATTATTAAATTTAAACAAAATAGTGTTTAAAAAGTTTGGAAATTTTCTTGCTGCTGTATATCTGTATTTGGTAAGAGTTGGAATTCGAATAAAGACAATCAACTGATTGTAAGTATAGGCATGAGCAAATAATGACAAAATTTGTCTCTGTGTTCCCCAGTCAGTAGATAGGTTATAGGCTTTTGAAAGAAATTGCAGAATGTTGGTGTCAGCAGAATCTGAAGCAGTTTTCAATAAAGCATCCAGCAGAAGAGAGCCTTGACCTGGTGCAAGGACATTCACAACCTCTTGAAAAATTGATTTAGCTGATGATATATAATCACATTTTGTACGGTCAGATGCTTCATTCCAATCTGTTCTGAGTTGCTTCTTTACTGGACTTAGGCCACAACTTTGCAGGAAAGTGTCTAGAGCTTTCCTCTTGTTATTCATGTTTTCTAGGTGATCACCTCCCTCCTCTTCTTCATATGTATCTTGACTGCTCGGTTACCAGAGGCTGCCTTGTGAATTAATGGACACTTGCATATTTGTCTACAAAGAAAATTTCTTTGTAAGACACCAACTTAACCAAAATTGAAAATTTTATACCCTCCTATCAATAGGACATGGTCCTCAAAATGGCACAAAGTTTGCTTGGATCGATACTCTACTTAAGGAATGACTAATTCTTGGCCAAATTATTCAATATTACCTGGTTTGGGTCAGTTTACACTTGGAGATTATAAAAAAAGTGTAAACTGACCCAAACCAGGTTATACCCGAATAATTTGGCCAAGAGTTAGAGTCATTTCTTATAATTTAATTTTAGAATAAACAACTGTGGATGTAAAATTGTGCTGCTTTTTATGAGTTCAAATTTGCCGCTCAATAATACAACCATAGTAACGAAAGTGATGGGAAACAAGGGGAGGTAATAACTGATACACAGAACTAGCAGCAATGATGTTTATTTACATGAGGTAAGATCGAGCTACTGTTTGAAGTTAAAGGTACATTTATTAAATCTGGAATTTCCCATGAATACCGAGGACTGAAAATGAGGGGATTGCATGGATACAGATGATTCAGCTGGTCGTCAAGGGGGTATGTCCCCATACCAAACCAGCTTATACAGATTAATTTGCGTTCCTTTTTGGAAATCAACCAATGAGAGGCAAGAATGCAAACAAAATTAAATTATTTTTGTATAGTGATAAAATACTGTGGAATAACTTCAGTACTTTTGGTAATAAGCTTGGACAGATATGTCATGTTATCTCACCTTGAATGATTATAAAATTCATTTTATTGTAAATGTGAAAAATTTGAATATACATGTATGTATATATAACATTTAAAAAAGGATATTTAAGTTGATAATTTTATAAGTAAAAATATCCTTGAAGAGACTTTTAACAAAAACAAATAAATCTTATATCTTAAATTGCTACTTACAATCTGATCAAAATCATCTGTATTTGTGCTTGAATTTACACCATCAGATGTTTGTGAATAACTGCTGGTAGGTATCCTATAAACTGTGAGTTCTTGATTTACAGATGAGCCTATATCTTCTTTAATTGTGTCTTGTACAACAGTGTTTTCTTTTCCTGATGTCTTGAAAAAAAAAGTTAGAATAAAAAATTAAATAAGTAAGAAATTTATGAAACTAGAAATACATCCATAGGACATGAATGTTCCAATTGCTTACATCAGTATGTATCAGCATATGAAGTTTGACACTGATTTAGGAAAAGTGAGGTCAAGGTCAAAGGAAAGGTCGAGGTCAGAAATGTTGAAGCAGTTGAATAGCTCTCTTCAGTATGTATCAGCACATGAAGTTTAATAACACTATCTTGAATGGTATCTTTAAAACTGGGCAAAGCCCTTTTTAATAAAAGTGAGGTTAAGGTCAAAGGAAAGGTCAAGGTCAAAAAATGTTGATGCAGTTGCATAGCTCTCATCAATATTTATCAGCATATGAAGTTTGATGAAAATATCTTGGATAGTTTCTTTGAAACTGAGCTTTGAACTGAGCTAAACACAAAGTGTGACAGAAGGACAGAAGGACGGAAAGAGGGAAGTGAGGAAGGACGGAAGACGGACACGACAAACACTATATGGCCCGGCCATATTCATAGAGGGGCCTAAAAATATAACCCCCCTCAATATTTAAAATTAGAAAGTGTCAAATTAAAGCAATAGGTCACTTAAAAGTCTAGGGTAAACAATTTATTAAAATTGATCAATGTCAGACCTCAATATTATTGAGCTTAATTTACTTCTTAGACAGTACCAGTATACTAGATTTGAAAGTTGTTCTCAATATAATGAGCTAACAATGGCTTCCAATATATCTAGGGTCCATGTTTTATGACCATTGATTTCTGATCTTTTTACTGCAAAATTGACAGGTGTCATCTAGTCCCTAAGGAGAATGAATGTACAAAGTTTGATGCTACAGAAAATTAATCTCAAAATATTGAGCAAACAAGATCATGAGTCTAGAGTAATTAAAAAGCTTTGACCTTGTGACCTCAAAATCAATAGAGGTAATCTGCCACTAAGTGCTAACTTTGATCACTGTTCAGAAAAGTATACTCAATATATTGAGTGGACAACATTTAGTTTACAAACAAACTGTCAGGTGCAAACCTTTTTTTTCAGGTGGGGGAGGGGGGCATATGTTACAATGTACATGTTTTAGAATTTTGTTACCCCCATCCTTTAAAAAGCAAGTTTTATTTATTGAGTTATAATCTTTACAATCTTGAAAACTTACCAGTAAATAATTGCTGGATGGTGAAGCACTGTGCGATAAACACAAAGGCCCATTTTCCTTCTTGACTGAATCCACAATTTTGCTTCTGCATCGTCGACATAGTCCTAAAAGGAAAAGACAGAAGTAATCATCTCCCATCAATATACGCCCTATCTATCTATCGATCTGGGTGCATAAAAATTCTTCTTATACGGTAATTCCCGATTGCAATCGGGAACACCCTAGGTACATTATTTGCGTTGGACTTTAAATTTCAAAACTGAATCAAATAATCCTTTACTGACCTTTTCAATTCCTAATAGCATTTTGTTTAAAATTGTTACACTACATTTGAAACTTTCCTACGTAAGATATGCAAAAAGTTTCAAAAATTTCAAGTAGTTCCTATTATCCCAACTAATAAGTATTTCTCTGTTTGAATCTTCTCAAAATTCATTATAAATGATCAATTTGTAGAGCATTCTCTACAATGAGACCTGAACATGTAATTTATATATGTACTATAAACAGGCACATAGCAACAGGGGGACCAGGGGGCCTGTCCCCTTTTTTTCTAAACATAATTTCAGCATTGAAAATGTTCATTGAAAGGCCAGTTGGGCCCCCTCCCCCCTCTTTTTGTTACAGTAAAGTGAAATAATTGTGTGAATAAAATTTGGTACTAAGAGAAGTTGACCTCTGCCCCCCCCCCCTTATTATCTTATTTAGACAATAAATATTTATAAAACAAAAAAAAACTATAAGAAACAGAAATATTTTGTTTGTTCAATTTTCATCTTTAAACAAAAATTAGAGGTTCTGCTTGAAATCAAGTTTCAAGTTTTTATATAAGACAAAGACCCCAAATAATACAAAATTTTAGCATATAAACAAGAAATCCAAAACTACTTAAAACAATGTATAGGGTGTCAAAATCCAAGGCACTGGGGTACCAGCACTGGAGGAGAATATATACATGTTACAGTACCGACCAGACCCAACCTGACACAAAGCAGTCCCAGAGCAGTCCCGGGGACTGCTTTCTGGGACTGCTAAAGCAGTGCCGCAGCTGTCCAAGAGCAGTCCCACAGCGGTCCCAGAGCAGTCCCACAGCAGTCCCAGAGCGGTCCCAGCAGTCCCAGCGGTCCCAGAAAGCAGTCCCAGCAGTCCCAATGGGCGGGGTTTATTAATTTAATGGGCGGGGCTAACTCAGAAATGAGATTTCCAATAAACAATGGAACTATAAAAGGCAGCTGAATTTTTTTTCTCAGCAGTATACCAGGAATCCTTACAATGCGAAGGTCATTTACATGTATGAGCAATACCCGCATAGATTTGAAACAATTTGAAATAATATTTATTGAAGGAAGAAAGCTTACACACCTACATAAATGAATTACACTGAACATATATATTTAATCACAATTATCTTGGGGTTTTTTTTTGTGATTGATACTGGCTCCCATATTTATTTTCTATACAGAAAATTAAAATTGAATTAATTATATTTCACCAGAATTAGTTTTAAATAGATCTAATCATTATAGATCATGGCCGATTTCCATACTATCGGGATACTCTAAAGGCATTTTTTAAAAAGTATTAGGGCTTTTGAAAAATTCGTTGCTAATTTTGCTAAGTAATATTTTTCAGTATTGATTATTCTTTACTGACATGTTAATTTAGAAATTATTGTTTTATTTGTAAATTGTATTAGTGACCAGTATAGAATCCTAAGATTATGTTCAACATTAATTAATCTTGAAAGAAATTTATACACATTTCATTTATCTTTTTTATGCATTACATTTTTTACATAGATTGAAATTAGGGTCATTGTTAATTGAGCAGCATGTTCAATGATGTGTAACACTGATACGTGTACCCAAATAACATGCATGATTGATTTTATGCCCAAAGGCGATTGAAACCACAGGTGTTTATACCATTTTATTCATACACATTATCGGCCAGGTAAACAAAAGCAAAACAAAAAAGAAATAAATCACAATTCCAGGTATTTTCAACTGTTTATTAATTTTTTTTTAATTTACTCTTTTAATAACTTATTTATAAATTAAAAACTAATTCATCTGTAAATTCCCGTATAATTGTTCACATTGCTTATGTTACGGAAGAATGGTGGCATAATTTTATTTCATGTCATAAAATAAATTGTTTTAGTTTTTTATTTGAGGGTTGTATGTAATACTCTTTTAGCGTGGTGCTTGTAAAACGTGTAGCCTTTTCAATTAAAATATCTTATATCTAAATGTAATGATTTTTTAAATAGTGCCAAATGAAAATTTTGAGTATTTAATTTTAGATTTAATAAGAAAAGAAATCTACATGTAGATATTTTTTCTCATGAGCCTGTAGTTTTATATACTTTAGAAATAAAAATCTCATCCTGACTTCCTTATTTAACAACTTTATTTTTAAAAATATTCCATATTACATTTGTGTAAATATACAGTCCCTAAAACTATAAATTATCTATAATGTAATCTCAAGTTATTAAAAGATTATAAGAAATCCTTGCTTATTAAATAGTTTAAACTCCTCTCTGCTGCAAGTAAACAAAACAATAGGGAGCCTGCAAATTCAGAATTCACAAGGGGGCGGAGCTATCATGTCACTCAGAACCTTTGTCACACATGAGTGAACAAAGCAGTCCCAGAAAGCAGTCCCAGGCGCAGATGGGACTGCTGGGACTGCTTTTCATAGCAGTCCCATAGCGGTCCCAGAGCAGTCCCACAGCGGTCCCAGAGCAGTCCCAGAGCAGTCCCACAGCGGTCCCAGAGCAGTCCCAAAGCAGTCCCGGGGACTGCTTTCTGGGACTGCTTTGGTGTCAGGTTGGGTCTGGTCGGTACTGTATGTAACATAGGGGGAAAAATGAAATGGACTTCTGCATGTAAAAAACAACTAAAAAGAGATTTCCTAAAAAATATCAAAGAGAAACTACAAGTATTTGAAGTATCAAATAATCCATATGCAACAAGCTTAGTAACACAAAATTCTGAGGAAATTCGGTCATTTCTTGATATGCTACAATGGATGTGCACAGGATATTATGTTGTGTTATATCCCATACATTTTTACCTAACAGGAGTCCATGTATTTTATTTAAAACTCATATTATCATTACCATGATTAGCCTGAGTATGGCATTAACGTTAGACTTTACCAAGTTTTTGGTCGGCTGCAGACAAATTAAGTTCCCTAAATTTTTAATTACTGCTTTTATTATATGAATTTAGATCTTATATCTGTATAATTATTTAAGTTCTACTTACATGACTAGTCTGCTTCCAAGTCAGCTCAAGCTCTGATCCACTGTAGCCCCGTTGTTATAGAACACAGAGCTCTGCAGCCAAGTTTGCCACCATATTGCATATTGTTTACACAAAAGAGTCAGCTAAGGGAAGTAACTCGTTGAATTTTTCAAGCGCTTTAAGTGCGGGTAAACGTTCCGAAAATTGCTCATAAAAATTATCTGCAACATATGCTTCTCATTTTTTTGCAGAATCTTTGTAGAAAAGGAAGTGTTTGTTTAATTTTTAATACCAGATTGAGATAATCTTGTTGTAGATTAAAGAATTTAATTCTTATTTTGGCTTAATTATTTAAGACAAAACTAGAATAAAGAAGCATAAAAATATTTTTTTTTACTTTCTAACCAGTGATGTTTAGTGGTAAAAATATTGGAATAAGTTTCTATACTTATGTGTTTTAACTTTGATTTAATAAGATGTGACACCTATGTATCTACAGTTAGAAATGTAGTAAATATACTTTCACCGATATGGTTGCACACTTGGGGATGTTTGGTCTTGGTTTCCATGGTAACGGTTCACAAAAGCCACATATTTTATAGCAAAATGTTATCAGCGCATCCCAAATATTTCACTATCAATGCCATTTAAAAAAGCAAATTTTTCAAGTTTCCATGATATATATAGAAGAAGCTTGACGGTTCGTGACATTCTCTCTTAAGTATTTTTATTTCATTTGTTAGAGAAACATTGAAATTAAAAATAAATATAGAAACATAAATATAGAAACAACTTAAGTATACGTAAAGATCGAATAGACATGAATAGACATGAACAACAAAATCAATATTAAATTAAATTAGATTCATGAAACTTTTTAATTGAAAAGTTTCAATACACGTTCCAATCATTTGGTGAATCCAGTTATGATCAATTTGTCTAGAAAAATAATTTATATTAAATACTCATAGTAAGTAATTTCAATAAAGTATAGGAGGCCCACGTACCTTAAAGGTCACCCGAGTATCACTTTCCAGCAATTGAATTTGGTTAATGTTTGAGGCCATGAAATTTACAATGTTGAAAGGGGTGCCATTGCTTATAATTATTACACATTTAGCGTACTAGAGGTAAATCAGAGTTACAAAGAGAAAATACATTTCCTCTTTATAACCAGTTATGCACCCCACCCCACAGAAATCACTGACACTGGGGACAAAGATATCAAAATTTTGGAAATTTCATCATATTATAATAGTTGATTATTACCAAAGAGCAGATTTCAAAGCATTAATTTATTTTCAGACTATGCCCCCCTCCTTTTACCCCTGACCTGGGGCCCTAAAACTAACCCTTTTTGATAAAGAACATTTCTTCGTCATAAATATGTACAATGTACCTAGATCATTGGCAAAATACCCAGGAGAAAAAGAAAAGATTTTCAAAGAAATGACGCATTTTCAATACATAATCATTACAGTCCCGCCTTACACCAGAACCCCTGACCCAGGGTCCAAGAAATTCACAAATTTTGAAGAGGCGTCCTTCCTCATTACTTTGTACATAAGTCATTTGTACAATACCCATGAGCAGAGAAGATTTTCATTGAATTTATTCATTTTCACCATTTAATAAATTTAGTCCCACCCTTACTCCACAACCCCTTACCCTGGGGCCGTGAAGTTCACAATTTGGAAAAAGAAATTGTTATTCATCATAACTTTGTTATGATTAGTACATATAATACCAAGGAGCAGAGAAGAATATTTTTATTTTTATTTTATTTTCACTCTACATGTATATTCAAAAGAGGCATGCCTTATCACCGGAACCCAATAATCAGGGGCCATAAAATTCACAATTTTGGAAGATGAACAAAGAACTAAATTTTTGAAGAATTTATGGTTTCACTATGAAATCAATAGAGCCCTGCCCTAAAACCAGAACCCCCGATCAAGGGACACTATGAAATTCCCAGTTTAAGAAGAGGCAGTCTCATCATTACTATGAACTTGGTTAGTTTGTTTAATACCCAGGAGCTGAAAAGAGGATTTTTAAAGAATTTATGTATTTTCACAATATATAAAGCCCCGCTCTAACACCAGAATTCCCGACCCAGGGGCCATTAAATTCACAATTTTGGAAGAGGCTTTCTTTCTCATAACTATGTACTTGGTTAGTTTAGTTAATGTCCAGGACCAGAGAAGACTTTCAAAGGAACAATTTATCTTCACTATTAAATCTATTTAGCCCCGCTCTAGCATTGGAACCCCTGATCACAATTTTGGTAGAGGAATCAATGCTGATTCGATCATGCCAATAGTTTGATTGCTTGATGTTCAGGCCTCAGGGTCACCAAACAAAATTAATAAAATAGACTTAAGACAAATCTTCAATCGCCTGTAAATATTTATTTATTATGGTATTTATTTCCAAATTTGCAAATAAGAACACCTCTGTAAATTGATATTGGAAAATACTTTAATTTTGGTTCTGCTTGACGTCTACAGCATTTAATTATAAAATAAAGATTTCTCTGTAATCTTAATGTCTTTTGATTCTGAGGCCGGGAGTAAAGAAGATTTTAGAAGATTGCATAAATTTTACTTGTTTTGTCCCCACCCCTCAGGTCCCAGGGAGCAGGGACCATGAAATTTACAATTTTTGCTTCCCTTCACCCATTTATGATTTATGTCAAAATTGGTTGAGCGGTTGCAAAGAGAAAGCTGAAAATGTTCAAATGATAAGACAAACGACGAACAAAGACGGAAAGCAATAGACGAATTTCACATTCCGAAGAGTTATCTCCTTTTGTCGGGGTAACGCTCAATTTCCCACTTTGTCCTTTGTAAGTTACCTGTAAATATTTTTAATCTTCAAACGTTATCGAACAATTTCGATCTGTACCTGTATTGCCAGAGTATGGGGCAACATGAAAAACATAATGAATAATTATTTCTATACAGATTTCATTTCTAGGTTGGTAAGGGATAATGGAGAATCTAGCTGTGCCTTACGCCGGTTTACCCCAGATTGACCCTGCAAAAGGGAATAACTGTTTTAAATGTGAAAGTCATCTATTGGTCACTTGAGTTTACCCAGGTAAACTAATAACAAAATAGACTGACAGTACTATTTTACCGTATATTAAACAAGGAAAAAGATATCAATCAAAACAAATACATGTTTACTCGGTATATGAATGGGAAATGGATTCCTCAAATTAAATTAAAATTGAAGTAATGTTATTTACTAACCTTATAAAAGCATAACTTTTTGTCGGTGTCCTTATCATGTAAAGAACTCTTTTAAAAGTGTATTGTCATCCCATAAAACTATATGTCTGTACATGGTACGAATTTTTTAAACTTCCTTCTTGGTGTATTTTTATGCATACATGTAAGATTGTAGAGTTAAACAGCCCTTGTAACTTTTTGAGAGGTACACTGCAGAATTTGCCTTTTACTTACACAGGGGTTGTAACAAGAATGAAAACTCCGATAAGAACATTTAAAACAAGTTTACCTCTCAGATTAATGAAATAAATAAATATTGGCCGGTGTAATTCAATAAAACCTTGTGTCGTTTGACTCTTCCTAATCACCAATGAAAAGACTTCTTTTTTGTGTGTTATTTCAAGGAGCATATTATGTAAACAGGCTAAAATAAAACAATAAATTCAAACGGCAATTTACTATTTTGACAGGTTTATTTTGCAAAGGTTCGTGAAAAAAACAAATGAAATGAAAACAATTTAAATAGTCGTCGATGATGACCTCAAGTGTCATTATAAGAACTTTAAGAGAACTTAAGTGTTACTGGGTTCAGAAACGTAAGGTTCATAAGCTCTCTGCTTAATCATAAAAATGTTGATTTAACTCTAATCACTAATTACTAATTACTATTCAACTATTATTTCGCTAAAAATAAAAACATTTAAGGAATAGTTGGCGGGGGGATTGGATAAAATATATACATTTCAACTTGTCAATTTTATTTGGAATAATACACATTAATGTTTTTATAAGTTATCAGTCTAATCATCTTATCGATGAACCTTTAAAAGATCGTTTACTTTTTTTTTTTTTTTTTTTTTTGCAATTAAGAAGAAAATTATATCAGCCTAACCAGAGTAGTAAACAACTCTGTAAGTCTAATCTGTAGCTGTTGTACGGCAGTGAAAATTTCCACCTCCCCGTCCGTGTACAACTGTTGTATTATATTGTAAACAGCACAGAATACACCACATAGGACTGCTCCATCACTGTTAGGTAGAAGAAAATATTAGATTTTTAGATCCATACAAACGTCTACATCTGATTCGTGGTCAGTAAGCAGGCGCAGGAAATATACAGCGTCCCCTGGTGGAGGATAGAGCGTCAAAATGAAGGTTTTGTTGTTCACAATACATGTATGAGTAAATGGGAAGACAAAATTCTTTCTTTTTTTTTGGGGGGGGGGGTGCAGGTCGGAGACAATCTCTCCTCAGAGTTGTCGTTCGCTTCGCTACATCACTTCTGTCAACGTCTGAATGCAAAGATTCTTGGCAAAACTTATTTTTATCTATTGCGTCATAAATTATGAATCTAAAACTTCTATATTCTTGCTTAACATTTTAAAAGGAAGTTTATTTATGAGAATTAGAATCAGATATCTTTTTTTCACCATATCTAATCTTATAAGGGATTATTTCTCGGCAGGATATTACGAACGCGGAAAATTTAAAACGCATTTCCGATAAATATCTACATGGTTTGGTTTTTATAGACAAACAACTTGCAGCATTGACACATATATAGAAATGTTTAAATTGTTAATCTTCCTGTGGGCCACTTAAAACAACATTTGAAAAATAATCACGTTCCTCCGCTTCCGTACTACTTTTTGGATGTTGACAGAGGTATAAATGGAACGATATTTCTGGGTAGAGATCGGGTAAGAGATAAGAATTGTTCACATTGATATTTTTAGGGAAATAAAGTAAAGATTGAAAAATTTTTATCAATAACAAATTTCCATGTGAAGTGTCCATTTTAACAACTAGATGACAAATTCAATTCTCTCGAATTTAATTAATTAGAAATTGTTTGATTTGAAAATACTAAAACATATACTAAGTGGTAAATTGATTGGACAGCTAGCATAACCTATACGAACCCGCTCCGTAATGAGTCAAATATTATACAAGATTTAAAAACACAACATACGTAGGGGAAGATTTACTGCGTTTATAAAACCTCCACGCTCAAGTAAGTTTTTTTTTAAGTTACAAAAAAGTACTGAGAGAAAATGAAAGCTGGGTTTTAACTGCTCGAGTACATTCTCTAATCCGATATTTATAAATCAAATACATGTAATATTAATTTATATGATATATACATGCCTATATTTATAAGAGAAGAATCGTAATTTCTGGTCCTCTAGAAAACCACTGTTAAAATGAATTTCGCAACGTGACTTTGTCGTATTTTCGAAAATAAAGTCGGTCGCATTTCGCGGACAAAGATTTGATGATTTGCAGGAACTGAGACAGAAAGTGTTAAATATTATTTTACATATTAAATCTGAACAGTTTGTAAACATTTTTGATGACTGTTTAAAGCGACATCAAAAATGCATTGAGTTAAACGGTGACTGTGTTACCTGTACTACTAAGCTTATGACGTCGGATAAAGTCAAGGATTTTCGTTTTTGTGCTCGGTGTATGAGTGTATGTCTGTTTTGTTCCGACAAAATACAACTACTTGTATTTGTGCTTCGCTTTTGTATAAAATTTGTACATGTATAAAATGAAACATTGAAATGATAGTTTCATAGAATTTATCAATCTTTGTTAGCAATTTTGAATGTTGTCCACGAATTTTACGGACAACCTTCGATCTTATAGCATGATTTATAGGTTAATGACTTAAAAAGAACTCCTTCAGGGACCAGATCTGACGAGTAGTTTGTTTGGAACATCTTTTGTATTCTCAGGAGATCGTTGATGTACAGGGAGACGTCGATGCTCTTTTCCATCAGGCCTTGTTCAAGAGGAGGATAGACACTCTCTCCTTTTTTCTGTGGTTGTACAATTTGAATATTGAATACAACACGGAATTATTCCGGATGAAGGTGCATATCCTTGGTAACTTCACGGCTCTGAAACATTTTGCTACCGCAAATATGCAGAACTACAAACCTTCTTAAGAGGGTTAAATTCAAAGTACCATGGTTGTGATTTATTGTCTAACGTCACTGAATACAAAGGCAGTAAGTACACTTGTTAGAGACTGAAGTTTAAAGATAAAAACCACATACACTGTATACTAAGCTGTAATCAGATAATTTTTATTATATCAACTTCAATGTACGTGTGTCAACAATAAGAATATTTTAACAAAGAAATGCAAAAAAAATACGTATGGAGATAACGAACAGTATTCGAGCAAAAAATCTTCATTAGTAAATATATGGAGATAATTTACAGTATTCAACAACAATATTTCAACAAAATAATACAAAGAAATATATGTAAATAAAGAAAATTATTCGAGCAAAAAGTGTTATCAGTAAATATATGGATATAATGAACAGAATTCCAGCTCAAAATCCGATAAAACAATACACAATTTGAGCAGAGTAAACATGGACCTCAAAAACATCAGAGGTGGGACAAGGTGCCACGGAGGAGTGAGCATCCGCTACTGGCTACTCACACTCCCCGTGTGGTCCTTGTCATGATGGGGAAATAACTTAAAGTAAATTGTACATATGTAATGCATGCTCTTGTCTATCGAAACAACTGAGATACATAACTTCCGTATGCAGGCGATGAAGGTATATTGCTGGATAAGTACAGTACCGACCAGACCCAACCTGACACCAAAGCAGTCCCAGAAAGCAGTCCCCGGGACTGCTTTGGGACCGTTCTGGGACTGCTGTGGGACCGCTGTGGGACTGCTCTGGGACTGCTCTGGGACCGCTGTGGGACTGCTATGGGACTGCTATGAAAAGCAGTCCCAGCAGTCCCAGCTGCGCCTGGGACTGCTTTCTGGGACTGCTTTGTTCACTCATGTGTGACAAAGGTTCTGAGTGACATGATAGCTCCGCCCCCTTGTGAATTCTGAATTTGCAGGCTCCCTATTGTTTTGTTTACTTGCAGCAGAGAGGAGTTTAAACTATTTAATAAGCAAGGATTTCTTATAATCTTTTAATAACTTGAGATTACATTATAGATAATTTATAGTTTTAGGGACTGTATATTTACACAAATGTAATATGGAATATTTTTAAAAATAAAGTTGTTAAATAAGGAAGTCAGGATGAGATTTTTATTTCTAAAGTATATAAAACTACAGGCTCATGAGAAAAAAATATCTACATGTAGATTTATTTTATTATTAAATCTAAAATTAAATACTCAAAATTTTCATTTGGCACTATTTAAAAAATCATTACATTTAGATATAAGATATTTTAATTGAAAAGGCTACACGTTTTACAAGCACCACGCTAAAAGAGTATTACATACAACCCTCAAATAAAAAACTAAAACAATTTATTTTATGACATGAAATAAAATTATGCCACCATTCTTCCGTAACATAAGCAATGTGAACAATTATACGGGAATTTACAGATGAATTAGTTTTTAATTTATAAATAAGTTATTAAAAGAGTAAATTAAAAAAAAATTAATAAACAGTTGAAAATACCTGGAATTGTGATTTATTTCTTTTTTGTTTTGCTTTTGTTTACCTGGCCGATAATGTGTATGAATAAAATGGTATAAACACCTGTGGTTTCAATCGCCTTTGGGCATAAAATCAATCATGCATGTTATTTGGGTACACGTATCAGTGTTACACATCATTGAACATGCTGCTCAATTAACAATGACCCTAATTTCAATCTATGTAAAAAATGTAATGCATAAAAAAGATAAATGAAATGTGTATAAATTTCTTTCAAGATTAATTAATGTTGAACATAATCTTAGGATTCTATACTGGTTACTAATACAATTTACAAATAAAACAATAATTTCTAAATTAACATGTCAGTAAAGAATAATCAATACTGAAAAATAGTACTTGGCAAAATTAACAACAAATTTTTCAAAAGCCCTAATACTTAAAAAAAAAAGCCTTTAGAGTATCCCGATAGTATGGAAATCGGCCATGTTCTATAATGATTAGATCTATTTAAAGCTAATTCTGGTGAAATATAATTAATTCAATTTTAATTTTCTGTATAGAAAATAAATATGGGAGCCAGTATCAATCACAAAAAAAAACCCCAAGATAATTGTGATTAAATATATATGTTCAGTGTAATTCATTTATGTAGGTGTGTAAGCTTTCTTCCTTCAATAAATATTATTTCAAATTGTTTCAAATCTATGCGGGTATTGCTCATACATGTAAATGACCTTCGCATTGTAAGGATTCCTGGTATACTGTTCAGAAAAAAATTCAGCTGCCTTTTATAGTTCCATTGTTTATTGGAAATCTCATTTCTGAGTTAGCCCCGCCCATTAAATTAATAAACCCCGCCCATTGGGACTGCTGGGACTGCTTTCTGGGACCGCTGGGACTGCTGGGACCGCTCTGGGACTGCTGTGGGACTGCTCTGGGACCGCTGTGGGACTGCTCTTGGACAGCTGCGGGACTGCTTTAGCAGTCCCAGAAAGCAGTCCCCGGGACTGCTCTGGGACTGCTTTGTGTCAGGTTGGGTCTGGTCGGTACTGTAAGGGAAGTTGAGGATTGATATTCATCATGTTTATTGTAGAGCTTGGTTGTTAGCTTACCATTAACGTCTTTTTCAAGTAAAATATCAAAATATGAAACAGATGTGTAAGCCTCTGATGTATCTTTTAACTCATTTTTACCGATATGTATCGATTTGACAAAAAAATCTAAATAACTTTTGTTAATTGACAATACGTCGTCGATATATCTGAATGTCAAGTTGAATGCCGCAGCTACTGTTTTCTTTTTACTAAACAAATTCTGCCGTATATGGATAAAAATACGTCAGCTTATAACGGGGCAAAATTGGTACCCATTGGATTTCCAATAAATTGTAGGAATACCTGGTCTCCTAGAACTGCATAGATATCGTCAGTCAGAAAGGCAAGCATCTTTTGATGTCAACCTCAGAGTACTTGGATGTACAATCAACCAATACAAATAAGGAACCGAGCAAACAGGGCCTCTTAAACATATAAACGGGTCCAGATGTCAAGGAGAAGTTACCATTCCTTACCGACTGATCACACCCGCAGTATGACAAATTATATGATAAGATAATTTTATTCAAAGAAAAACATTCAGATTTTTCTTGTCGACTACAAACATGCTTCTGATAAAGAAATTTGCTGGTCATTCATTCAAGCTTAATTTAGAATTATCTATGCTTAAGTCCTTTAATCAATTTAAAATTAAAAGAAAACTTCAGGATAAGCTCAACAGCTTAAAAAATGTGGAATATACAATTCAAATGCACGGTTGCAATTTGTGAAAACATAAGAGTCTTCTGATTATGTTGCTCGGTAGTAAACTTTTCACACCTCTACTTTGGAACATGTCCTTATATTTTGTCAACAGCCTCGGTGTCACGAGAAAGTTCTTCGTATGTATTTACTTTATCAAGCGCACATATGTCTGTATAATGGGATTCATCCCTAGTATGAAACAAAACATATGAATATGAAGCGAACTTTAAGAATATTGATAAAGATGTCAGATGCAATTTAAAAATCATATCAAGTCTGAAAGGATATTAAAAGGTTACCTACCCTTCACCAGTTGCTGATTTTCCTGAAAAAGAGGCAATTGTAAAAGAATTCGGATGTCAGCTAAATATGAAAACCTCAATTGTTATCCTTTTGTTAAAGTAGAATGATTCATACATTGTAACTTATTTCTGGGAAATACTTTAAAAGGATAAAAAAAACTAATGAAAAGTAAATATTTTTTAACATTACATTTTTTCAAGAAATATAATTCACTTGTTTAAAATTAAATGAATAATTGACATTTAGATGGCTCTAAAAACATTTTATCGGACCTATGATTCCGGGAGCATCCACGTTTCTTATCTTTGCCCTTGAAGCTTTTGGCTATAATGAGGATAAAGTCAATCTGCCTTATTAAATACATTCAAAAACTAAAAACCATAAATAAACACGCTTAACCAAATAATACCTGAATTACTTTTAAAAATTTTATTAGATATAAAACTTACCTTTTCAGTTCCACCTAAAGAAAAATAAAAGGATTTCATCTTGTTTTAGCTTAATAAAATATAATATTATTGATACATAATATAATTATAGATTTTTCGTATTTGATTTCATTATAATTATGTATTTTAACAATAACAACGTTTTTTGTTGCCTCTGTTTTTATATAATTTGTTAAGCTGCAAATCTGAGCTTTGAAATTGCCTATTTGATTACATGAAAATAGTACATTTAATTACGATAAGTCATAATTAAGAATGTGCAAAATCTATTTATTCTGAAGAAAAACTGAAGATGCTGAAATTCTGTTTACTTATAATTTGTCCAATGATTTTTACTTTTTATTGCATAAAAAGCGTTGATTCCAATAATTTATTTACATGTACTTACCATTTTTCCTCTTCCATATGATAAAGTTAAGAATACTTCCAGTCAGAACAAGGAATACAGAGATCACAATACTTATAATGATACTAGAAATGTTGGGTTCACAGGTGTCACACGCAGTTCTGCTAAGAATAGTGCCTGTCATTTGAAGATTTTTTTTAAACATTGTATGTATATCTATTTAACGTGCATTTTTTTTTTTTTATAAATTCTGATGTATAATGTTTTGATTACAAACATTGAAAAAAAAACGTTTTTCTCAAAAACCATAAACTTCTGTAATGCAAATTAATATGTTACACCTTTATTACAAAGAGGTCCTTGTAGCCCCTCTATACAACCCTCATCACAAACACCGGTGATGACGTCACATGTTTTGTTTCCGCCACAATAAGCCTTACAGTTTCCCTTGCAGTTTATACCAAAGTATCCGGCAGAGCATTCTGGTAAACAAAACGATTGATATGTCTATGATAAAATAGAGATAAGAAGAAAAATGGAGTTTCTTACACTAAGGTAGAATTAAATACCTGTCATACATGTCGCCCCATGAAATCCATGAGAACACCCCTCTCCACAAGTTCCGTTCACGTGGTGACAAACCGATCCATTGAGACAGTGACCACAGATCTGACGGCAGTCAACACCGTACGTACCACCCTCACATTCTTATAAATCATCAACAAGCATTATATCATTATCTAATTAAAGCAGGGAAACTTATAAAAATAAATAGTTTTATAATGGAAAAGCACTGTTTTTATGGAAGTATGGTCATCTTCAAAAATATGTTTGGTTATCTCGACCCACTGGCTTGAAATAGCCGACTCAATTTTTTTTTCGAATTTCAGGACACTGTATTTTTTCTTCTTTTTCCCTTTTATCCCGTAAACAAATGTGTTGAAATTTTCAAGGAAAAAAATTTCCCGCCTACCTACCGACCCATTAATTTTTACCATGAGCCCGAAAAGGGCAGGCAAGTTTTCTGAATTTTTCCGCCCATCTGCATAACCAAATTTGCTGTCCTAAGTTCGAAAAGGGAAACCATTTTTTATGGTAGTACAGAATATTTAAACATTTTCGGATTTTTCTTCTTCCTTTTTAGACAAGTTAAGAAGATGATAAAATTTTAAGAAATGTACATTTTTGACTATGTAAACAATTGAACTGCTCAATGAGTAAATGGTATTTAAGTAAGAACGTATTGGACAATGCTAAATATTTCAGGAAATATTCTTGCTATCAGAGAAAACATATGAAAAGTGCCTTTGGCAACGAGTTCTCTCTACTTTACATACATCAGGCCCGAAGACCATAAATTGAGAAGATACTTAAATCAAAATTATGAATTTCAATACATGTATCTCAATTTTCATTTACCGTTTTAACTTAAAAATTGTGCATAACATGTCTTTTAAAACAGATGATGCCAATTTTATTTTCATATCAACGTTTTTTTAGAGTTATATCGATTTTAAATTTGGTCTTGGGCCGGGAATATATTTATCAAAGTATTTATCCCTATAGTTTTCCTTTACTTACTCTGTGTACATCTGGGTGCCTTCCAACCTGGTTTACATTTCCCCATACACTCCCCTGTAAACCGGTCACATCTATTTGTAATAAAGCAATTCTCGCTGCATCTCTGACCGCAGTTCTTCCCATAAAACCCCGCAGAACATTCTAAGCAGAATCAAGAGGTAAAATTACAAAGTCTATGAAATCTGTTAACACTTCATAAGATTTAAGATCTAAAATAGTTCATGAAGTAAAATTCTCAGGTAGAAGTAAAATTATCTTCTGACTGATATGTTTAGTATACAATATATAATATAAAATATATCGTATAATATACATAAACATTAATATGCAAGGCAATATTTTTAAAGAAGACATTCTTCTTGAAAGTCATTAATTTTTGTACCTTTGCTGGGTGTAAAAAGCAACCTTATTCAAGAACTTACCTCATTTGTATGAACTGAGAATTTAACTCTTGAGAAGATTTTATTCTCATTTCATTATTTCTTGAGTTATATATTGAAGTAATACGTTGTGTGTATTGTTTGTGTGTATTATACATTTTATTTAAGGTAGAGGCAAACCTTATTTTACTTTGTACATTTGCGTGTTATACTTTTTTTTCAATGTAAAGGTAGAGTTTTACCAGTCTGACATTTCTCTCCTGTCACCCCCTCGCTACATCCACTGAGACATTCCCCGTTTACGTGATGACAGGGTTCTCCATCACTGCAGTTACCGCATAACAAAGCGCATCCAAGCCCATACCTATACGGATCACAGGCTAAAAATATAAGGAAAGATAAAATGGGTTTATGATAAACTAAAATTTTCATATTAGCATCTCCACTACAGAAATGTTCTTTTTTAAAAGATATGTTTCAATTTTGTTTAGTTATCATGTATTCAGTCATCTAAATCTTTAAATAACCACATGGCGCATGGTTTCTGAAAAACAAGATAAGAAAGGAAACATCCGTTATCTTATAAAAAAGCTCCGCTGAAATATGACTGAAATGTTGCAAACTCAGATATAAAAAAAACAACAACAAAATAATATTAATATAAAGAGAAGTACAACTGTACATTGTTTTGTTGATATTTTGAAATTAAACACCTTGGTTCACTGATGTCATACATTTATTTCTATGTAATATATTGGGGTAAATTAATTTTTTAGATGGTGCATCTTTATCATATTCCCTGAATAAATATATTTCAAGATACATGTAACAAACAGTATTCAAGCCCAAAATTTCATTAAATAATACAAAATTGGAAGAGTTCAATCAAGTCCCTCAAAAACCACAAATATGCTATATGCACAAAAACGTACCTTGACTGCAGCGAGCACCTTGATAGCCCGGTACACAGCCCAGACAATGGCCGGTGTTGATGTTACACCTCCCATCTTGACATTTGTCGGAACATGTTTGGTTACAATCCTCTCCATACACCCCATTGTTAAAGCACCCTAATTTATAGCAGTACATGAAGGACAATTTATTTGTCGATATATTTTTTATTATACTGTTGAATAGTAGTTAAATACTTGTAGTATTTAAGTTATATTTGTTTTTTAAAACTACTGAATTTTAAAAGATTTGATAATATTAGTAATTTTTGGGGGAAAAAATAAGAAGTATCTTACCATAAACTTCCAATTCACATAATTCATTGTAAGTATATTGTGAATAGTAACTGGAATACGTCACATTCGGATTCCTCTCGTTGTAGTATATGACGTAACGTCCATGTACAGGGCAGCTAATTGTCTGGTTCTCTGTCGGTGTACCGTTCACTTGTTGTAACTCATGGAAACAAAGATGGCCGTCCTGCCGTCTTGTGGTATTTGAAACATACACAAAAAATCCAGCAAAGCGATCGTAAAAAGCGTCGGGACCTAGAAATACAATAAAGAGCTGTAGCACAGAATAGAAGCAGAGACACCCACACACGAACCAATCTTGATAATTATACAGGTCTAAGGGATAAGGGACTGTGTTTCTCTGAATCAAGGATATTAACTAAATTCTTTTATTGAATTTAATAATTTAATAAGTTAAACTAGGATTTGGTTAGGAGGGTATTGCAAAAATTGTTGTATAAAAGAACTGTTTGCTGAGGTTGTTAGGCCGATGGTGGACAGTTTGGTTCGAGGGTCGGCAAAAAGCATTTTGTCAGAGAACACAGTCAATAAATGTTTTGTTATACCTTTTACTTTAATATATTGTGACACACATGTCTTCCGTGATGTAAACCTCAGGTCCGTAACTATTATACATCACGAAGGCAAATGAGATTAGGTTCCGTCTATTGCGTGACGTAAGCAATCCAACATCTCATCGACCGGTCCAACATCTCACTCAGCGGTCAAACATCAATTTTTTATGCACGCTCAGCAAAACATTAGAAAATTAAGGCTTCTTTCGTATAGAATAGTATATGAACAAATTTCTAAAGGTTTCACAATGATTTGTTTTACATACTAGGAAAATTAGCCGTCCTGTAGAAGATGTTGATGTAACTGATGCTGACCACACTCTCTAGATCTACTCTCCACTCAGCTGTTAACTGACTAGGACCAGATATTGTGCACTGTCCTCCTATAGCCCCCACTGCATGAAAAGTCGGGTTTACTTTTACCTTAAATGCAATTTAAATGCTGCGATTATTTAATGTTTAAATGGATAGTATAACATATTGTGGGATCGTAAACGTTAGAAAATAATTAGCATTTAATACGAGTTTAATGGAAAATTAAAAGAACAAATTTAATAAAGTTTGGAAAATTGTAAACTTACTAATACGTTCGGATTTAAGTCTCCCGTAAACAAATATTATACCTCGAGTACACAAAACGTATAATTATTATTAAACATGCCCATAAAATAAACGTTTTATGGTTATATTAAATTTGATCGTTTAATAAAATTTAATGTAGAACTTTACCTCATTATTTTTTGTTTAATTCACACTTTACTTTATAATACTTCCAAAAATTATGTTATATACGGAGAATTGTAAACTTACTAATACGTTCAAATTTTCATCTTTCATAAACTAATATTAAATCTCTTGTATATGTGATGAAATATATGGATTAAACCTTCCCGTATCATTAAGATTTATGGTTTTATTATATGAAATTAAATATAATTATATTATTGCATATTAATTTTTTTATTTAATACTTATTCCATCATTATTTGTATGGTATATAATTGTGTTTTTCGCAAGTATTTTACACTACACAAATCCGATTCTCGTTCAATTTTATTTTATGTTATTTGTGTACAAACAATGAGTTCTAACAAAGTATAAGATATTTCAAAATTAATGCCTAAATGTCAGCATTTAAAAATTTACAATCATGAATTTAGCTCAATTATAATGGAGTAAATTTTTGCATTATAGTAGTAGGTACTAAATAATACGTAAGTGAGTGAAATAATTTTGTATTTTACAAAACACTTAATATGGTATTAAAATTTTATTAATTTAAGATACCCTGACAACAATGGGTCATCATGTCCAAACAAATCAATAACAACATAATTATAAAAATAGAATTTTATGTAAAATTTAAATCTGCAATAAATCAGAACACAACAGGTAAAAAATACAGTCATTCTTGACTCCAAAAGACTGCAAAACCTATGACTGAAACTGCCCCTATTGAAACTGCTGCATGGGTTGTTAATGGTTTTTCAATTTCCCAAATCATATCATACTTTGCACAGAAGAATAAAAGTTGGCAATAAAAAATGCGCATTCTTTTTACATGTACATCTATTAAGACACACTAAGCCACTGACAGAGAAGCCTCACTCGCCCACAAGCAAGAGCAAAAGGATCGGTCAGAGACGCCACCTTTCTCTTACTTGGGTATCAAGATCTGCAACTTACTGCCAGCAAAGCTCTTTCAGACAACCCTTATATTGTTTCCCAAGTATTTCCACAACAGATGTCCACTAATTATCAACTTGTAAAAACATGGCAATAAATCAGAGATTAAAAGTGTATGTACATGTGTGTGACACAATAAGCCAGTCAATCTGGTATCAATAAAAATAAGACAGCTTTTAAATCTTTAACCGAGTACAGTAAATACTTTATGTTGACTGTGTAAAATACAACACCAAAAAAAAAATCTTTTATATCATTTGGTTATGTCAATTCAAATTAAAGAAACAGCATCTCAATTACACAAAATAGTAACAGCTGATAATTTGTCTCTAATACCCCATATTTGTTCCAACTGCTAGGTTTATTGCTTGATGATTATAACTTTAACATATCCTCATTTTACATTGGAATGCTAGACATTTTGATAGTGATATTTTTTTCAGTCATTAATCTTCTACACTTTGCCTCAAAATTTCAAGAATGAGCTCGGAAACATGTACATATAAAATGTCCTGTAAAAACATATACAAATATATTTATTAAAATCACCATTCACCCTTTTTTACTCAGAAATGTCTCTATCTCATCTGCTTAGTCTACTTTTTACATCTATGACACACTAAGCCACTGACAGAGAAGCCTCACTCGCCCACAAGCAAGAGCAAAAGGATCGGTCAGAGACACCACCTTTCTCTTACTTTGGTATCAAGATCTGCCACTTATTGCCAGCAAAGCTCTTTCAGACTACCCTTGATTGTCTTATTTTTTTCCACAATAAATGTCCATGCACTTATTATTTAAGTCAAACTTGTACATATATGTATTTCTTAAATCAAGATTAAAATGTATGTGATTGCATACTACACGATAAACCAATCAATGTTTAAACAATAAAAAATATAACAGTTTTAATCTGTAATGAAGTATCAGAAAAAACTTTAACTGTCAAAAATACAACACTAGGTATATTTTTCTTATCTAACATTGAATGTGTCAATTAAAGTTAAGTAAAAAAAAACATTACATTTGTGCAAAACAGTAATAACTTAGACATTTGATCTCTAATAGCCCATTTCTGTTCAATCGCTACATCATTAGGTTTGACTCTTTTAGATTCTTTATTTGTCCTAGTTCTTCTTATGCTCTGCCTTTTAGTGTGTTTTGATTTGAGAGTGGCACTTTTGGTGTCCTGTTCTTTAAGGACTTTTTCACATTCATCAGAACGCCACTTCAGTTTTCTAATTTCATAGATAGTACATTGTATCATCTTTCGAATCATTTTTTGTACTATGAAGACGTAATCAATATTTAAAACTTCCTCTTCTTGCTTTTTCTTCTCTTCATCCCAAGAAATTTTCAGCTCTGGAGAAGCACATGTAGCTCCTAATTTCTACAACAAACATACAAATAAATACCCATTTGCCTATATATACATATTATATGTGTGCTTCCGGATTTATGCATATATTAACTAGTACACAAAATCTAGGTTAATTGTAAACTTATCAATTGACCTAGAGGAAACACAGCTCAATTTTGATTAATTATTCACAACTGAAATATTTTTGAACCGATCTAGATTTTAAAAAAAAGTGCAAATGGCGGTCTTTTTAATAATACATGTATGGGGTGATGTGTTTACATTTGTGTGTGATTACATTGATTGCAATGTAGTTCTAAAAAGGAACAATTGTACAACACAGAAAGGGGTTTGTGAGTTCTGTTCCATATAATGTTTCTTTAGTCTAGGTGGTTCTCTTAACATCAGAACTTTGACATTTACAGAAGACCATAAAAGATGTGCCATTTTTTCAAGTCTGGGTAATAAAATATTTATCTATAATTTCAGACCAGCGAGCTACAAATTTTGAAGCTAGTGTTGATGTACATGTAAATTTGGGAGGGACTAATGACTTTTTCCCCATCCTTTTTTGGAGCATTTTACCACTATGTTTACCTGCTTGACCTTGAACATGTTGAGGATCCCTTTTCTCTGTTCCTCCACAAAAATTCTTTCATTTAGCAGCAAGATACTATGGATATGGTAAAAAGCTGTAAGAAACAAAATATGAAAAATTAATAACAGTTATGGCTCTCCATTGAAAGAATACACAAAAAAGGAGAAAAGATATACAAACAGGGTGTACTTATGACTAAAGCAAGTTGATAACATTTTACACAATGATAAAATTATCTGTGTCATCAAGTTAAGAGAATTACATAAAAAAAAACATATAATTATATGTATAGATCACATTTATAGACGATAAAATATGATACGAAACATACATAATGGTACCGTACTCCGAGCACATGGAATTTGAAGATTTACAAAATTTACAAAAATGCAAATAATAGCATTTACAGCATTTAACATATTAAGACATACGTTTCTATAGTTTCAGACCAGCAAGCTACAGATTTTGTAGATGTACATGTAAATTGGGGACTTGTAACTTTTTGCCATCTTTTTTTTAGCATTTTTCCACTGTGTTTACCTGCTTGACCTTGAACATGTTGAGGTGCGCAGCCCTTTTCTCTGTGTTCCTCCACAATATTTTATTTCATTTAGCAGAAAGATACTATGGATAAAAAAAAATATGAAAAATCAATAACAGGTATGGCATTTCATAGAAAAAATATACAAACAGATGTATTTATTATTAGAGCAGTTTGATAACATTCATACAATAATAAAATCCTTAAACTTGTGTGATCTAGTTCAGGGAATTATTTTAAAAACATAATATGTATAAGATCAAATTTAGAGACGAAAAGACATGATACGAAACGGATGTACATAATGGCACACCATACTCGGAACACATAGAATTTAAGAGTTTACGAAAATGCAAAGGTTAGCATCTACAGCATTTAACAAGCAAGTTATTGGGATAATGAGCAAGTGATTTAACATAAAATAAAATATATTAACAACTTACACTGTAGATAGCAGGGGTTTAAAGTGGACAGGAAATTCAAAGTTTCAGTAAATGGTGGCAATCTCATACACAATAAGTCGTACAACAAATGATTAGTTCGTATCTCAAACTGGGTAGCCAAATATATCTGGTCATGTCACTTTAAGAAGGAAGGCTCAGCAAGTTCGATGTTGTCAGATCATTCCCATAGATACTTCATACTTTTCTGGCACAATTTCTAAAAGAAAAGTTGAATCTTGAAGGGTTTTTTTTCAAATTAGGATTAATTCTGATGAATGTAAAAATTTGAAAAGTTTACAGATGACAGACGAATACCAGACACTGATCAGAAAACTCGCTTGGGTCTTAAAATAGCTCAGGAGAGCTTAAAAAATCTATTCATGTGATTTTATTGATCTTATCAGAAAATTTAAGAAATCTTACCTTTGTGTTAATTTTCATACTGGTTTTGTCCTTCTTGCGAGTATTCGGATTCCTGTAAATAATGCATGCATAATTGTGCATCAAAGAATATGATAGCTATCTTTAATAATTTATGCTTAAGTATTTAATGTAAAATAACTATGCATAGCTCGGTGCATTTTATAGTATGTTTAGATTACATATCAGAATCCATTGCTATTTAGTCAGCCCGCGGGCTGACTAGTTATGGTACGAAGAACTTCCAATGCGCTTGCGTGACCTGGAATTCTGGGAGTGGTTCTGCAGTAAATAACGCCTAATAATTTTATTTCAGTAAAATCAATATAGATTGTAAACTAACAAATCCCTATTAAACACCAAATTAAATCTGTAAATTTAACTCAAAAAGGAATTTCCCGATGCTTATTTTTGTATAGAAGGTTTCAAACAGTTAACTGGTTCGCAGTAATTTAACTGGTTCGCACATGATCATGTGTTCTACGCAGCGAAGCATACAGTTGCTACTGTTGGATGAATTTAGTGTTTGACGCGTAAATTGAAGCTCTTTCATAAAATATATTTAAAGTATTTTTACTTATGTATTGAAATCTACAGCACAAACATTGTTTATAACATATTTTTAGCTTTTCAGTTTTTACTGCTTTTACTTTCGTTTTCACTACAAATCATTTCGATCCCGATGCTAAATAGTGGACAGACTTGTTAAGTCATACAACAGATACTTCGGAAAGAAAACGCAACTGGCTAAGCTTGCTCGTTTGTTGCCTCCCGCTAAAATTAGAGAATATCAATTTCAGTCTGTCTGTCCGTGCATCTATAGTTCTGTCTGTCTGTAACACTCAGTTCCCGGCAATATTGCGTGAAGTCTTTGAGCTACTGCAGTGAAATTTAACATAACCGTTTACACCTTATATGGCCTTAGTAGACCCTCTTGATTTTGAGGCCAAAGGTCAATGTATTAAATTTAGAGATTCTGTCTGTTTAAACACTCGTTTTCGCGCGATATCTCTGTAAGCCATTGAGCTTTTGCAATGAAATATTATACCACAACTCCATATGGCCATATATATGGCGTAAGGAAAACCCCTGTGTATTTTGAGGTTCAAACGTCAGTGTCATAAATCCATACTTCTGTGTGACTCTGTGTAAAACTTTCATTTCCAGTCAATATCTCAAGGGGCTAGGTTTTGAGTTTTTTCAATTAAATGTCATAAACCATAACTCCCTATGGCCCCGCCCTGGAACTCCCCCCCCCCCCATTCTGCGCATACTTTTTTGGCTTGTTTTTCATAAACTACGACCTGATAATCTAGGTTGTGGCAATCATATTTATGAATTAATAGGTTTATTATATTATAAGAGGCCTGATAAATGAATTGGTAGGTCTTAGTAATGTTTGCTTTATTTCAATTCTACTTTTTATGAAACAATTTTAAGCCAAAATTCAGCTAGTTACATGTACTAGTAAGTCAAATGACGGTAGTTAATAAACTAAAAAAAATCTTCTAGGCTACACCGTCAAAGCTTACATGTTACCTGTTTGAATGAACAATAAAATGTACAAGAAAATGTACTAGGTATTTCAATAATCCTTAATTTGTATTCTCAAAAGAAGGTTCGGTATGGCTGTTTAAGTATCGCAGGGACAAGGGTGTTTCCATTTTCTTTACACATAGCCAAGAGTGATTCCACCGGCGGCATGATAAACTCTAACAAAGATGATAGTGAAGCTTATTGGGCTCCATTTTGTTAAAAATGGCATAATGTCCATGTATCCCCTTCCCCCTAAAATCTTATAGATCTGATAATGAATTTGTAAGTTTATAACTTCTTTGATTAATGTTACGTGAATTGGAACTTAAATGTTTATACACTGTACATATTTTCCGTTCTTTTGATTCTGAGACAAAAATGCAAGAATCTGCATGTACAAACGCTTCTGTTCCTATGCAGAAAAAATATTAAGACGATGTTTTAATTTTAGTGCCCAACACTGCTACTGATTAAAAATTTGTTGAAAGCATTTTTTCAGTTCTGTATGATTCTTTAAAACATTATCACAGAAAAGAAAAATCCACTGGCTGACTATCTAAGCTTTTTTTAAAAGCTAAACTTGTGTATTTTTAGGATAAGGAGATTAAGAATATAAACCTCATCTTGTTTACTTGGTAAATAATAGTTCAAGTTGTTGCAATATTTTTTATAGTCTTATGCTAAACTATACAAGTTTATAAAAAACAATGCTAGGTTATATGTGCTATATGAAAATTTGAGCTGCATGGTTCTCACCATTTTCACAAGCTGAGTATATACGCCGGCGCTGTGGGGAATCGTCTCAGGCACAGTCCACTGCAACTATTAAATAATCAAAATAAGTGCTGAATATGATCTTGAACATGCATTAAAAAATAAATATATCTTTTTTTACATTGTACAACATACTTTGTAAATGCTGAACAGAGGAACACTAAAATTCCTGAACCAATCCCAAACGAGGAAATTCTGGTTACAATCCATCTTTATGAGAGATGTTTAAAAGTGTTAAATAATTATTGCAAAATTTAAATAGCGCTTGCCAAAACGTTTTAACGGTCAGGCATTTTATGTGTAGTGCCCAGACTAAGGAACGGTAACATTGTCAGTTATTCATTCAAGGACACATGATAAAATTTTGTATACATTGTTCCTACCGAGTACAGGGTCGTAAAATGTCTTCATCTTCTGTCAAAACAGAACTTCCATACAAAGCTAATCATGCTTCTCCTTTTTGCGAACACTCTCTTTCGCACTTTCCTTCTCTACAACATCATGATCAAGTTCAACATGGCTGCGTGGAACCACCAAAAAATTGAATTTCGGCGCGGTGTGTTGTTAAAATTAATTGCTTTCCGAGCCCGAATTCGATCCCGATGTAATTGTACTACAGTATTAGTCGACAGTTTTAGTGAAAAATCTAAGTTATATTCCACAGTTTTGAAAAATCTACATAAGGGTTAAATAATTAAAAATGAATAAATAAAAATTAAAATAAATTAATATATTTTTATAAAAAAATGTTTCAACATAATTTTACGTAGCAACATTGACGGTTCATTAATGTCGGGCCAACACTACAACGTCGGAAGTTTTAATGTAAATGTTTTTTGTTATTTTGCAATAATAAAACTGTAAACAATCTTTTATTTTGATTAAAATAAAGAATTGATATTTATGACATATTTAAAATACCAAAAACATACTTAAACTTTAAGTTTAAGCATATTTACTTTTACATGTCGATATTCTTAAACGAAACGTATAATTTTCTCTATTAAACTATATTATTCTCGACGTATTTTGCATTAAATATAATTATACTTATTTGAAAACTGTAGTTAATTATATCACAATATATTTCATGTAAAATGTACCGTTATACATAAATTAAATTCAATACAAGAAATTTACTGGAGTAAACGAATTTATTAAATTATATTAAACGCGACTTTTCATGCAGTGCCCGTGGTCTGAATATTGTCCATCTACCGCTTTCGCAGCTCCCCATATTATAGACATGTTAGGCCAGTTACTTTGTTGCCAAGCTGGTTTATTAAAAGCTAAATTTTCCGTGATAAAATACATTTTATTTAGTATTACACATCATTGTAAAACAACATTACTTACACTGAAACTGGTGCTTTACTATCTTAATGTTCTATATACAGTGACAACAATTATCATAGACAAATATTTTCTTAACAGTCCAAAGTCTATGTTTCCCAGAAATGATTTCTCACATATTCTGAATAATTATTAATTACAGTCTTGTACCAGTACAAATATTTGCCAGCATCGAGTATGTTTTTATTTAAATATTCTAGAATAATGTGTATTGACACGTTTAAAAGATCTTTCTTGTTATATGCAATAAATGGATGGATGTCCTACACCTGGGTTGTATCTTAATAATATTTGCATGATTATTTTCCGTGGTGTTTACAATTTGAAAGAATGATCTAAACTTTAACACGTGGAAGATCACATGAAATTTTAACATCCAAAAACGTGTTATACAATTTCGAAGAACGAAAAATGCCAATTAACTGGATTCAAAAACAAGAAAAGCTCACAGAAATGAAAATACTATCAAAACAATTGAATATTAAAGATATTCTATAAAAATTATGTCTCATTGATGGTTGAACAATTGGTGCTTATTTATAACATTATTTAATAATGTATACTATAACAAAAATCGAAACATACACTTAAAACTATTAAAATTATTTTAGAAGACGGCTTGTTTGGTTTTAAGATGGCTAATGTATTCTTGACGGATAATAAATCGATTTTTGAAATTTTCATCTTAAATTTTCATCCAATCCAAAAAAAAAAAAGAAACTGCATACCCTAAACCGGAGATGTACTGGAAAACATTGTGAAACGATATTTCAGGTTATAATAAAATGAAAACATTTCTCAACCCAAAAGGATCGGTACAAAGTTATCAAACTATAAAAAGAAATCCAAAATCCAAATAGCATACCTTTCGATCTGATAAAGAAAAAAACGATTGTTTTTGTCTATATTTCGCGCTTTGAAGATTTTTCCAATGGAATGCATGAAAATCCGTATTGAAATATAAGTATATGGCACGCCAAATTCACAAAAATGAGATAAACCTAGTTTCACAATTGATAAATTAGATTTATCGACTGTAAACTGTCGTTTACAAACCGTAAACTATAGTTAACGATTCGTTAAGTATAGTTAACGATTCGTTAAGTATAGTTTTCATCTGTAAAACTATATTTAACGGTTGTTAACTATAGTTTACGAATGATAATCTAAGTTTATCTGTATGTAATAAAACGTTAACAATAGATTTTGTTGATAAACATAGATTCACGTTTGTAAACTATAATTTACGATCGTTAACTATAGTTAAGAGTTGTTAATCATAGTTTCACAAATCGAGAAACTATATTTATCAGATCGTTAACTATAGTTAACGGATAGTTAACGGTTTGTAAACTATAGTTTACAAATCGTGAAACTGTATTTATCAGATAATCTATGTTTTGCAATCGCAAATGATAGTTTTCGGTGTTAAGTATAGTTTACGGTTGTGAAACATAGATTATCGGGTTAACTATAGTTTACAGATGTAAAATATAGATTAACGTTGTTAACTATAGTTTACAGTCCGTAAACTATAGTTTACAACCGATAAACCTAGTTTATCGATTGAGAAACTACGATTATCTCATTTTTGTGAATTTGGCGTGCCATATAAGTTATATTTTAGAATATTTGAGAAAAACCTCCAATAAACAAGGGCGATATAATGAGGGCGAAGTCGACGCCATAGTTACCTTTGAAAAATGTAACATGTCCTAACAATGTAACTTTGTTAAGCCTTACCATGTGATTTCGTACAATTCACTAGCAGAAATGATAGGACAATACCAATGACCATGTCGATCTGCCTCTCTTTTCTATTGAAAATAAATTTTAAATATCATATCAAATATCATAATATAATTCATCATCTATATGCTCTATGTCTGTTTGGTTTTTTACAGTTTCTGGTCAGGCATCAGAAGAACTTGTGCGACTGTTAGTTGCCTGCGTATAAAAAAATCCCCATACTTTTCTTCTCTTATACATTCGGGTCGCCCGCCTGGCGCTGTTCTAGAGTGGGAAAGAAAACAGTTCACCCTTACGTCCCACTGTGGACGTGGAGACCGGTCCTTCAGATGAGATACCGAGTCCCGTATCGCAGTAGGTACTGGCTTATAAAAGATCCTTCACTGCTCAATGGCCCTTAGTACCGAGCATAGAACAGATTTCACAGCTTTCCACCATCAAGTGCACATGATGGCGTCTCAGTATGAGGGAAAAATTCTCGAGAGGGACGTTACACAACATACAGTTAATCAATCTTACATAATTTAACTGTATGTTGTTAATCAATCTCACATAATTTGTTCGATTTCTTTGATGAGAATATTGTTCATAAATATTCGCCAAGAAGGATTTACAATTCTGTTCTGCAATAATATTAAATACCTGCATAATAACGCACTCAAGAGGTCTGGGTAATTCTGGCCATTTCAAGACTGTATTGTCCCGCCCTGTTTGTTTTATTAGTATTTATTGTTCCCCGCTTGAAAAGTGGGGGATATTTATTTGGGTCTGTCCGTCCGTTCGTCTGTCCGTCTTTCTGTCTGTCTGTAATGCTGTCGTTTCCAAACGATATCTCGAGAATCCTTTGAGCTTTCGCCATGAAATTTTGCATAGCAACTCCCTATGGACTAAGGAAGAACCCCTTGGATCTTGAGGTCAAAAGGTCAAGGTAATAAATTCGCAAATTCTATCTGTTAAAACACTTTCGTTTCCGCGCGATATCTTCAGAACCCTTTGAGCTTTTGCAATGAAATTTTACTTAACAACTCCCTGTGGCCTAAGGAAGACCCCTCTATATCTTGAGGTCAAAAGGTCAAAGTTCAAGGTCGTAATTTTATACATTCTGTCTGTGTGTGACACTATCCTTTCCGGGCAATATTTCAAGAAGATTTTGAGATTCTGCAATGTAATTTTATACCAAAAATCCCTATGACCTCTCTCACCCCTCTCAAAGTGTCCCGCCCCGTTTGTTTTATTAGTATTTATTGTATTTCATATCGCTTTTTTCAGCACAGAGGCATGAGGAGAGTTATTACGTATAAAACAGGTCATCGGCGGACTATGTTTTCTTATTACATTTATTAGAACTGTTTAATAAAGGTTAAATTAAACACCATGCATTGTGTTAAATTTTGACAATATCGAACGTGAATATATACATGTATGTCACTTCATTTTTGCATATAATGTTCTCTAGAATAAAGCGTGAGAGGTCCCGGGATCGAATCCCGGACGATCTATTTCTTTTTTTTTCGAAATACTTTTTTTTACTAAATGATAGTATTCAGCATGTAAAATGAAAAATTTATGAGGTCTGGCTTGTGCAAACTCATGAAATCATCATTACAGTGTGATAAATATTCCATATAAAAAGCATCTTCTATACACATGATAAAGAAAAAGCAATCAAATCTTCATATCCATATTTGCATATTTTATTTGCTTCAGTATACATGTATACATTTAATAATTCTACAAATTCAGTCAGGGGGATCCGAACCTCCCCCCCCCCCGCTCCCCCAGAACTGCGAATGGTTTACTTTTTCCCTAGTGGAGGGACACAAATTCTCTGAATTAGCTTGATTAGTTTGCTAACATTGAAATGATATTTCATTTACAAATACCTTCAGAATTAATAATAATATTCATCAAACTTCCTAGGCAAAAAAATTCTAAATATTTTCCGATCATTTGGTGAATCCAGTTATGACCATTTTGAGTAGGAAATAATAATAAACATATTTTTGCTGATAGTATTCATTTTGATATACATTGTAACAAATTACATTGACTTTGCACCGTTTAGTAAACAAAATATAGATATGAATATTAAAAAAATTAAAATAAATAAAATGTTTACGTCAGAGTACTTTTGTGTACAAACAAACAATACAAATAAGGAGCAGAAAATCTATGATCACTGGATTCAGGTGATAGGAGGACCGGGATGATCTTCCCATTTCGACCGTTTACACCCGCCGTATGACAAATAATAAGTTAAGATCCATTGTTTTTTTTATTCTGCAAGTCCTATTTTGAATTTAAAACCTCAAGATAAGATCAGCATTTAAAAATGCGTAACAAACTAATTTAAATATGCATGCACGGTTGCAGTATGTTGAACAACATAGAAGTGTGCTTGCTGACCATGTCACATTGTCATTCCAACTTCGGGCACCTCTACTTCAGAAAATCTTCTTATATTTTATCAACAGCCTCTGTATAATGAGAAAGTTCTTCGTATGTGTTTGGTTTATCTAGAACGCCTAATTCTGTATAACTGGATCCGTCCCTAGTATGAAACAAAACATATAAATATGAAGAGAGTTTTAGGAATATTGATAAGGTTACCGATTGCAAATATAAATTTTCTGTAAAATCACATGTAAATAATGTTTTTGTGGGGATATAATTTCGTGGATAAAGAACTCTTAGGTCTGTATAATGGGATCCGTCCCTAGTATGAAACAAAACAATATGATCGATTCATTTGATATTGTTATTTTACGCTGAGTCGGCAATATTTCAGCAATATTTCGTCGGTATGTATTAAAATAATGTATGAACGGAAAACATGAATTTTAAGACATTTGATAAGGATGTGTGTTGCAATTAGAATAGAATATCACGTTTGAAAGGATATTAAAAATACGTACCCTTCACCAAAGGTTAATTTTCCTATCAAAAGAATAATAAAGTCAATTGAGTGATAAAAACCTCAATCGTTGTTCGTTATCTTTTTGTTAAACTAGAATGATACATACGTATGATTCGTTTCTGGGAAAATACTTGAAAGTTTTTTTTAACTACATAGAATTAAATTTTTTTAAAATAATATAACCATGAAAAGAATTATCTGCCCGAGAATTAATATTCAAATGACATTTAGATTTAATGGCTATGGGAACATTCTATCAGACCTGTACTTCCAGTAGCATCCATGTTTTTCATCTTTGTCCTTGAAGAGTTTTGCTTTAAAGAGAAATAAAGTCCATTCTGCCGTTATAGATAAAATGTCTGAAAATGATAAATAAATACGCAAAACCAAATACATCTGTAATATTCTAATTATTGTTTTATATTACATTACCTTTTCAGTTCCATCTAAAAAAAATAGCACAAAATAAAGTTTTTAGTTCTAAAAATAATTAATGTAATAGATCCAAAATATAAATTTCCCTTTTTGGTTTCTTTAAATGTATTTAGACAATAATGCTTTATGTTGTCATTCATACAATTTGTTAAACTTTAATCTGATTTTTTGAATAACCTACTTAATTACATGTGAAAGTAGCTAGTATATGCATATACTTTGGGGAACAATTTATCACATGAACTAAATTCACTCTTAAGATAGTTTTTGTAAGTATCACTGAGGGTATTGAGTTTGGTTTACTGATAACTTTGACCAATGATTCATAGTGTTTATTGCCAACAAGCGTTGATTTCAAGAATTAATTACACGTACTTACCATCTTTCCTCTTCCATATGATAAAGTTAAGAATACTTCCAGTCAGAACAAGGAATAAAGAGATCACAAGGCTGATAATGATACTGGTGGTATTTAGATCACAATTGTTGGACACAGTTCTGCTAGAAATAGATCCTGTAATTTGAAGTGTTCATTGAAAATTTGATACGATACATATTGAATAAAAGTTGGTTTGTTTTTTCTTTAAATTCTGAAAAAAATATTTGCAGAACCAAAAGGTAGCTAAATACATTGTAAAAAATGATTTTCTTTTTCCTAAAACACCAATTACTTCTGTGATGTAAAATAATATACAACACCTTCATCACAAAGAGGTCCTTGTAGCCCCTCTATACAGCCCTCGTCACAAATACCGGTGATGACGTCACATGTTCTGTTTCCGCCACAATAGGCCTTACAGTTTTCCTGGCAGTTTATACCAAAGTATCCTGCAGAACATTCTGGAATCATAACAATTTTTTTTCGAGGAGGCTATCACAATTCCAAGGTGATAATTTAAAATAAGATGAAAAAAAGAGAACATATACCTGTCATACATGTCGCACCATAAAATCCAGCAGAACACCCTTCCCCACAAGTTCCATTCAAGTGGTGACAATATGATCCACTGAGACAGTGACCACAGATCTGACGGCAGTCAACACCGTACGTACCTCCCTCACATTCTTAAAAAAATTAACAGGCCTTATCTTCTTATAGCAGGAAAATTGATAAAAAAAAAATTGTTAAATAAACGCACAAGGCGATATTTATGGACAGCAGGGCAATCTTCAAAAATATGTTTGGTTGTTCTTTCCCGACCTACTGGCTGGAAATAGCCGACTCAATTTTTTTTTCTTTTTCACATTTCAGGACATTATATTTTTTGTTACTTTTTCCCTCTTATCTCGTAAACAAATATGTTGACATTCCCTGGGGAAAATCATTCCCCGCCTACCTACCGACCCATTAATTTTACCCCGAGCACGGAAAGGGCAAGCGTTATGTCCGCCATTTTACATACCCAAATTTACTATTTTCTTTTATGTTCGCTTAGAGTATTTTATTCTTTTCGGATTTTTTTCTTCCTTTTTAGACAAGTAAAGAGAATAAAATTTTAAGAAATTTACATTTTTGACCAGGTAAACAATTGAACTTCTCAAATAAGAAAATGGCATTTTAGTAAGTATTGGACAATACTGAGTATTTAGCATATACTTTTCAGGTAATACTCTTGATATCAGAGAAAACATGAAAAGTGTTCTTTGCAGCGAATTATTCCTTAACACACGTCAAGACCTAAGATCAGAAATTGAGAACATACTTAAGTCAAAATTTTGATTTTCAATATCTCAATTTTCATTTAACATTTTATCTTTAAAAATGTAATTGTGCATAACACATCATTTCAATGATGAAAATTTTATTCTATCATCAAAACTTCTTTTAGAGTAATGTCGATTTTAAATACTGACTTTGGTCTGATCTCAGTTTATGGCCTTGGGGCCAGTAATATATATGATTCGAAGTATAATCCATACACTGTCCCCTTACTTACTCTGTGTACATTTTGATGTCTGCCAACCTGGTTTACATTTCTCCTTACACTCCCCTGTAAACCGGTCACATCTATTTGTAACAAAGCAATTCTCGTTGCATCTCTGGCGGCAATTCTTCCCATAAAATCCTGCAGAACATTCTAGGCAGAATCAAGAAGTAAAATTATAAAGTATATTAAATCTGTTAACACTTTATAAGATTTAAGATCTAAAATAGTTCATGAAGTACAGTCCCTGAAACTTTTTACTTTCCAACCTGAACGGTGAACAAACGCTGAACAAAGGGTGAACGAACGCAGAGCGAATGGTAAGTGAACGATGTGTGAACGCTGAATGCAACTTGGTGAACGATGTGTGAACGGAGAACGGTGAGCGAACGCAGAGAGCGAAAGGTGCGCAAACGCGGGCGCAAAGTGAACGGTGAACGAACGGTGAACGCAAGATGAATTTATTTATTCAGAATGCCTCAGGTCTTTTCCTTGCATTGAAACTATTCTGTTGTATTCTAATGTTAAGTGCTAAAATATCAATAAACAATATTAAAATAGATAAATGAATAAACAATTAAAACAATTTTTTCTTTTAAATCAATAGTTTAACAACACGAGTTTTTGCCGTAAAACGTGTAATTATTACCGAACATGTGTACACTGTAGGATAAAAGATAAAATTAATTTACTAATAAAACTAGAGGTACTGTGAGCAATTAGCTCACTAAATGATACCCCCCGCCTTCCATAATGTCCATGTGTTGCTATATATTGTTTCACGGTAATGTGTTAAGAGGAATAACTCGTCCTATCAAATGTTATCCAAAAGCATCTATATGTGACGTCATAGGTAAACTTATCATAGCAATGTCCGTGTTTTGCTACGGGAAACCTAAAATACGTTTCTAATAAAAAAAATAAAATAGGAGGTGCACAATGGCAATTTGTAATAAAGATTCTATGAAAGTTTTATTAAATTTCACTCACTAGTATAAGAGGAGTTGCGGATAAGAGATAAAGCGTAACAGATGGACGGACGGATGGACGGAAATCCCGATTACTATATAGCCTCCCACTTTTCAAGCGGAGGTATAATAAATATGCTTATTTTTATACTAATAAAATAATATGGACTTCAGAAGAGAAAACTACTTCTTATAGAATGAATTAATTACATTGTACAGTCCCTGAAACGTTCTACTTTCCCACCTGAACGGTGAACGAACGGTGAACGAAAATGAACGAACGATGAGTGAACGATGTGCGAATGCTGAACTCAACATGATGAACGATGTGTGAAGGGTGAGTGAACGCAGAGAGATAACGGAGCGCAAAGTGAACGGTGAACGCAAGATGAACGATTTATTTGGAATATGCCTACGATCTTTTTTTGGATGGATATTATACTATTCTATCAGGTATTGAAATATAAATAAACAATAAATTGATAAATATATATTAATTAATAAAAACTAATAATTAGAATGAATAAACAAATTTTATATTGAGTTATATTAATAATTTAAGTATCTTACAGCATTTTCATGACACGATGTATATTGCCGTAAAACATGTGTAATTGTTACCGTACGCGTGTAGTATAACAAATAAAATTAATCTACTGATAAAATGAATATGCTCTTTTAACTAATAAAACAATGTGGATTTTAGAAGAGAAAGCTACAAATTACAAAATGAATTAATTACAACGGTTATAACAAAGACAAAATGCGATTCCGTGTAAAAAAAAAAAAAAAATGAAAAAAAATTAAAATTACAAAGGTCTGCTAACTTGTTGTATAAATACACTGGTATTTTAAATTTTTAATGCAAAATATTATATCATTATGTTTCATTTTCATTTTTTATAATGATGTTTTTAGCAAATTTCTACATGCATTTGAAGACATTTCCTGGCCGTGATTATACTCGACACTTCAAGACGAGGAAAATAGGCATTCATATTGATTTGATTTTTTTAATAGAATATATTTTCAGAGTTAAATTAAGTAATATGC